TTTTTTTTTTCGATCATAAGGGCTAATGTAAATGATTTTTTTAAATAATTATAAAAAAAAATACTTCCTACAAAGACCTAATTAAGCATTAGAACAAAAAATAGCCATTTTTGACCAAATTAGATGTAATTTCATTAAATTAGATGTAATAATTTTCAACAAATTCCAAAACCTAGTGATGTTAGATTGGAAGTGGCAACAGGGCTTACACCGGCATGGAAACTTACGTTATGTAGTATAAGCTCGCGCAGTTATTCATTGATAAAACTACTTAAAATTCTTCACTCTATCCCTTCTCTTACTTCTCACCTTTCGTCGCCTCGTCCCGCGTCTAGAAATAGAATGTATACAGTACGAACTATTGTTGGCACCATGAATATTATATTTTATGAATGACTGCTTATATCTCTGTTATCTCTGACTTGTACTCATAAGAATTGGCAATATTATGATAAGGAAATTGTTCAATAAGGTATGTAGGTACACTTTTTTTGTTTTTATAGAAAACGCCCTGAGAAAACATCTAACACCTGCTTTGAAAATTGGTCCTTTTTCCAAGAATGAGAGAAAATTACTATTAATTTTACTTACAATTATTGTTATATAATATCGAGTACATGTTATGTATGTAATAAACGTTTAAATGCACCTTGCTTTTATTAAATGATTAAACTATACCTGTGTTTCAAGTATTTTAGTATAAATATTTCTTTATTTATATTTTTTGGAGTTTTATTACTTTAAAAAACTAATATTTATGTTAAATACAATATTTGAATTTAAATATTAGTTTTTTTTTTTTGAGTAATGAATTCCGAATAAATGTAAATAAATAATAAAGTACATTTGAATAAACCGCGGGAAAACTAGACACTCTTTTTTTTATTTTCTTCTTCTGTGCTGCATTTAACTGTCAAGCCAATTATGTAATGTGCGATGGTGGCTCCAAATAGTATGTTGAGGAACTAAACGTGTTACCAGTGCCGTGCATGTAAACGATTTATCGTACATAATTTATCTATGATTGCTGGTAGACGTGACAGATAAATTCTTTGTTTGGATAACGATGATGCCATTTGGTTGGATTATAAAGATGTTGACACAACGAATGTTCCTGGCAATAACAACCCAAATGAAACTGAAGTGACTGCTATGCAAGTTAAAAATAATTAAAAGGAGTGGGTTTTAAGTCCATGGACTCAAGATGAATAAGTTTGAATATTTCAGGGCCATTCGCACCGCTTCAGAATAAATGTCCCTTTAGTAAAGTGAAACTTATCATAGTTCCATTCGCACCAGCCGATTAAAAAGCAACAATTAATTGTCAGATTGCTTTGGCAATGTCAAGATTTTTTAGAAAAAGAAGAAATAATTTCGAATTTGAATTTTATTTTGAATGGTGACAGAAAATAGAACAACTCTCTTTTGTGTCACAGGGCTAAATTTGATGAACTAAAAAGTAATAAAATAGAGCAGGAGATACAGCCATAATGAGAGTAAAATCAGTAATAAATCAATTAGTTATTATAAAAAAAATATAGAAATCATTCTAACGTTGACAGATGAGGATAAGGTATACTACAAATGGGCTCTTAAAATCCATAGAAACAAAAAGTAAAATGTTTAAATCAGTATGCAAAGACCCACATAATGAAGCTCTAAAACGTCAGTACAATATATACAGAAATAAAATAAATAATTTAATTAAAAACCGTAAATATGACTATTATCAAAAAATAATAACACAAAATCAGTCAAGTTCCAAAGAACTGTGGAACATTATTAATGAAATAAGTAGTGCTAAGCAACAAAAAAAAATTAAAAAAGTAAAAGACCATCTTGGTAACCTTATAACTGATGAAAAACAAATTGCTAATGAATTCAATAAAACATTTGCAGAAATGGGTAACAAATTAGCTGCAAATATATTGAGAGATCCTTCTTACATTCCCCAAAGACAACACCAACAAAATAGCATTGTCTTATTACCTACAAATCCTCAGGAACTTGAAACTATAATAAAAAAACTTAAATTGAGTAAATCTCCAGGTTGTGACGGGATTCGAGCGGAAACTTTAAAGAAAATATCAATTTTTATAATATCACCATTAAGTTTCATATTTAATACATGTATGGAATATGGAAAATGGCCATTTTGTTTCAAAAACAGTGTTGTAACACCAATTCATAAAAAAGGAGATGAAACTTCTGTAACCAACTACAGGCCAATTTCATTGATAACTACACTGTCAAAGGTTTTCGAAAAGGTCATAGAATCACGACTGCATTCATTCCTTACCAAATACAATATTTTGTCTGAGCATCAGTTTGGATTTAAAAAAAACGTTTCAACTGAAGATGCTATTTTGTCACCGAGAAAATATATTATGCGCTAGATACTAGTAAACCTTGTCTGGGATTATTTCTCGACCTTTCGAAGGCTTTTGACACAGTAAGTCATCAGTTGCTATTAGATTCTCTTGAAGAAATAGGAGTGCGTGGTGTCAGTAACAACCTATTCAAAAGTTACCTAGAAAACAGATCCCAGGTTGTGAGAATTAATCAAATTTATAGTGAAAAATTGCCCATCGAATTTGGTGTACCCCAAGGAAGTGTCCTCGGTCCCATTCTGTTCAACATCTATATTAACAATTTATTTAACATCGACACTAGGGGTGATATTATCGGTTTTGCTGACGATACCGTCATTTTATATACTGCGAATACTTGGCTAGAACTTAAAGAAACCGCTGAATCAGATTTTCTAAAAATACATAAATGGCTAAAATATAAAATATTAACTTTAAATGTTGAAAAGACTTGCTATTTGCCATTTTATTGTAATAATCTGACTTCACCCACATTCAGCCAACTCAAGATAAATGCCATTAACAATTCCTATGAAATAAATGCAGTGAATGCAGTTAAATATCTAGGAGTCTTCCTGGACTCGAATATGAAATGGGATATACATATAAAATACGTTTGCAAAAAATTAAGAAGTCTTTTATCTAAATTTAGATACTTAACAAATGTATTAACCCTTAATCAGCTAACAATTCTTTATTACTCCCTAATTGAGAGCCATATTAGATATGGACTTGCAGCTTGGGGAGGAGCATTAAAAACCTACATTCACCCTCTTCAAGTTTTGCAAAAATATCACTTAAAAATTATCTATAAAAAAAATCGAAGATTTCCTTCAGATGAACTGTTTAATATTTCCAAGGTTCTTGAAGTGAGGCAACTTTATTACAAAAAAATTGTTACGCATTATCATTACAAAAAAAATATATATATATTTCCAATACACGACCACAATACCAGACAAAAGCAGTTTCAAATACTACCTCTCATGCAAAAAGCTATTGGACAGCGTTCTTATGCATTTGTCGGTCCCAAATTTTATAATAGACTACCTGAAGATATAAAAGAAATAAACAACAATTACAAATTTAAAAAAAAATTAAACAAATATGTCTCAGAGAGTGGTATAAAGTTCATTACAAATCTGTTGGAATAATTACTTTAGGAAGAAAAAATTAAAAATAATAGCTATCTAAACATTAACAAATATCCTAAAATTATGTACCTCTTTATACTTTGTACTCAACTGAATTCAATATTTTATTCTAATCTACTTTTGTCTACAAAAAAAAAAAAAGAAAAAAAAAGAGAAGAAAAAAGAAAAAAAAAAGAAGAAAAAAGAAAAAAAAAATATGTAAAATCTTAAATCTTTAATCCAAACTTTAAATCATAAACTTTATTTTTCAATTGTTAATTTTTATTTTACTTTATTTTAAATGTTCATATTCTATATTATGTATATAACAATTTATTCTCGTATTTATCTGCAAACAAGCTTATGCTTATGCAGTTTTATAGTTTGTTCAATTTTCTATATTATTTTATAATATTATACCCCCATTTGTAATGTGAATGAATAAACTTACTTATTACTACCAAGAGTTTAATGCTAATTTTACAAAAAAAATATTCGCAGAAAAAAAACACTTTTTAAAAATGTTTATAATAGTATTGTCTATTGAGTTTGAACCTACATATTTATTATAAGGATACTATATATTTGCTTCAGTTTCATTAAGGAAACTAAGAAGTTTCTTCGGCCAACCTAAATCGCAGTGTAAATGTAATCGTTTCTAGTATGTATTATTTTATATTCTTCGTGGTATTCAATATTAATGAGATAAAGTATTTTCAAAGCATCGTCATCTTCCATTATTTCCATTTTGTGTGTTGCAATTTTACAAAGGCGTATTAGTACTTATAATAGACTGATTTGTATAACTACTGCTAATAATGGGGTTATGATTGACAATCTGTGTTATTTTTAACAGGTCTGTTATTTTATAAACACATAGAAATTACAACCTGTTCACAAATAAAGTGTCTGTTAAAAAATAACATTACTTGTCCATCATAACCCCGTATAATGACACAATAACAGTCAAAATTATAAAAATTAAACATTTTAAGGTTAAGTAATGGTTTAAGCATTCTTAACGCCTTGATAAGTAGAACTTTAATAACGGTGCTAACGGTTATGCCATCTTAAGTGTCACTTAGTAAAAGCGGTGCGAATGGCCCTAATGATACAAATAATCATTTTTTGTTTTGTAAATTTTTTTAAATGTTTCATTTGATGTTGATTTTATTAAAAATAATTTAAATGAAAGTAAAACTAATTTCGGAACTGCTGTTTTAATTTAATAATTTCTAGATGTAAAATTGAAAAATATGTAACTCCGCACTAGGGAGGGGAGAGTCTCACAAATGTGACCAGCTGTGACTAGGACGGGGGAGGGGTCAAAAAATCATAAAATTCGTGTGACGTAATATATGGATGGCCCCTAATGAAGAGTATTTTGTAACCAATTCAATTTCACTGATTCGTTGATAAGATACAACTAATTAAATATAATTTGAAATGCAAATATTTCTGTTTTTAATTGCAAATAAATATGTCTGTTAACTTTTAGGGTAGTGATAACAAGAGACCTTTAGATGTAAAATATATTGACTGGCAAATATCACATGTAAATTCTCCAGCTTATGATTTCTGTTACTTTTTCCTGGCACACAGTCCTAAAGAAATATTAGATGACTACAAAACTTACTTGAAATTATATTATGATACATTTTCAAAGCATCTTAGAAGTTTAAACTGTGATCCTGACGAGATTTTTCCATTTTCCAGGTTAGTTATGAATTAATAAATGTATTAATATTTGTAAATCATACATTGATTTAATTTTTCATACAAAAAACTTGTATAATGACAAATGAATAAATTTCCTGATGACAGATTTCATTTAACTGAACATCCTGCAGATTGCAAAGTGTCACAACGTCCCAGCCAATTTGATAATTTAATTAAAATTATTTTATGAATTAGAAATTTTACCCCTTTAACTTCACATAATTAAAAAATCTTGAATTTCAAGTGTAAAGAAATGCAATTTTGAGTAACGCATGCGCTAACTAATCAACTCTAGTTGGATAAATACCAATAAATAATTTTACATTTTTGTTTACAATATTTATATTTTTAGGTTTGAAAAACATATAAACCGATTTATGATATTCGGATTATACATGTGCTTTACTATTTTGAAGATAATGTTATGCGATTCCGAGGAAGCACCAGATTTTGGTGAAATGGCAGAAGATGGAGATATGCTCCAATCAATGAATTTTAAATTTAAAAACTTCGACATATTTAAAGAGAGGATTCGAAATTTAGTAGTATTTGTAAAAGATAATAACTTTATCTCAAAATAGAGTATTTATAACCGAGGGCGCCCATTTAATATTTCCAGCGGTGTGCAAAACAAAGAAAAAATACAAGATTTTTTAATATCGTCAACTAAAAATATACAACATATTTTAAATTTAAATAAAAACATCCAAATAAAAAATTGTTTTTAAAAATGTATTCTTTCATAAAACTATAAAAAAAATTAAATGAATAATAGACTAAACTAAACTCTTTTGACTTTCTACTATCTAAAAAGTAAAAAGTGTAATCCTGAGTTCACATAAATCTAAAATTTCTAAAATATTTACCAAATTCATCTATAACGTTTTCTGAAAAAAGTGATTCAAGGAAAAGCAGGTAAGCCATCTACTGATCTGCTTGGTATATTTCCATAAATGTCTATTTTTAATAAATCAAATTATTCCTTAGGATCTTGAACATTTAATTTGAGTAATTTGTTATATTATTTAAATTCATTATTTATTTAATTGATTATGATAAATGTTTGTTCTTGTAACTTTATTTTATCAAAATGTTTAATTCACTATCCTTCAGGTTTATTGTATTTGTACGCAAAATATACTTAATCTTTCGTTGTCTTTTGTTATTAATCATGTTGTTTCTCTGATAATTGTTACTATTGGCGTAAATGAAATATACGATGATTTTGTGATCTAATTTTTTAGGACTACATGTTTATCCTGATATTGAATCACAAATTTACTCAGGATTATCACTAGAACATCACCAAGCCTTGGCCGAAATATTCATCAAAAATGTGGTCACCTTAAGATAGATCTAAGGCCATGCCATTTTGCCGATTTACTACTAAGGTAGCCAAAAAAATACTTTTTAGAACTGGCCAACCCAACTAAAACACATGGTACCAAAACATTGTACCAAATCCTTTCAGTTTCGGTTTTGCTACAAAGCCTTTGTTCCTGGGGTTAACCCTCATACTACTATTAATACTTTGTTGGGAAAGGCTACTTTATATGTTTTTTTTAAGTAATTGTTACCACACTGATAGCATTTATTGGAACTGTAAATACCCAAACCAAAAGTAACATTTGGGTAATTTTATTACTACCATATAGAGGCAAAAGATATATAGTACCAGTGCATCAGTAATTACCACCCACTAGTGCCACTAATATACCTAAATAAAGTAACTGAGTACATAGAGAGGCAAAAAGGTCCCATATTAGTCCAAGTAACATTTAAGTAGTTACTGGAATTAGTATAATTTTATTGTTACTCTATAGTGGCAAAAATTATAGAGTACCTGCGAATCAGCCACCCACCAATGCCACTATTAGGCCTAAATAAAGTACTGTAAGGGGTTTTCTCGCCTCAGAGAAAACGATTACTTACAAATGACGCCTGTTGACGGGACGGCTCTCGGGCGCCAGATTTTATGTGTGGTTTACTCCACAAACTTTCGAAACGGCTTCGAAAGTACTCGGGCAGCACAGATGGAGATGAACAATTCCAGGGGTCGTTGGTCACTCAGACACAGGTAATAAGTAACCACAAGTAACGGGCTTTAATCGTGACTTGTGGTGATAAAGAATTTCTCACTGCTGAAATAAAGGAGGAAGTAAATTAGGGATCAGTAACCTCAGTTACAGTCAAGGTAACGTTGACACATATATTGAATTTTAACTATTTACAATAAATAATTTGTAACTAATATTTCAACGCCCACCCTCGCTCGTATTTTTAAAACCCTGAACAAAAAGAAAAACGAACAGATCGGCTTAGATTAGTCTCAATCAGACGGTATAATTAAAATTAAAAGAAAGATGCTCGGTGGCAATAGTAACTAATTAATAAATTGTCGGTTCGGTGGTTGAGCCAAAACGAAACCAAAAACAAAATTACTATTTCAGTTAAAGAAGAAAAATGGCAAATAATTGAGGTCGTAGCAAAAATTAGCTAGTTAACTGTTAAATCGGCAAAAAGATTGAAGTTAAATATTTTGTTTCGTAAAAGTAGAAATAAAATCACGGTCGTAGAAAAAGTTATCTGGTTAACTATCTAGTCGTTATTGAAACTGAAACAAACCTCCTTGTGTTAGTGAATAGGGAATAGATAAATGATAAGAAAACGGGATAGTATCAATCCTATGAGGAGTGTACTCGCCAAAACCAGCCCGCTCAACATAAAAATGATACTATCATTTTAATCACGGCGCGGAGGTAACTAAAAAAAAAATAATCAAAAACCGGGTTAGTATTCAATCCTATGATGAGTGTACTCGCCAAAACCAGCCCGCTCAAACATAAGACAAAATATTAAACCGGGTCAGTATTTATCCTATGATGAGTGTACTCGCCAAAACCAGCCCTCTCAAACTTAAGAAAAACACTAATATGTTAATCACGGCTAGGGGTTAATCTAAAAAAAAATCTAAAACCGGGATAGTATCTAATCCAATGTGAGCTTTCTCGCCAAAACCAGTCCACTCAACATGAAAAATGATACTATTTCAACTTTCGAACTAATTCTATTCCCAAGTAAAGAAACATAAATAATAAAAAAAAGTTAAACCAGATTGTGAATAAATAGAAACAAAATTTACGGTCGTAGTAAAAGTTAAGTAATTAACTATATACGGAATTTAATTTAAATTTAAATTTATTATTACTTAAAAAATAGAAACAACATCCACGGTCGCAATGAAAATTAAGTAATTAACTGTATACGGAATTTAATTTGAAATTAGGTTTACTATTACTCTGAAATAGAAACACAATCCACGGTCGCAATAAAAATTAAGTAATTAATAAAATAGAAACAAAATTTCTACTTCCTAATAACCAAAACTAATTTCCAATGTTTCTAAATAAAATCAAAACTAAATAATTTATCTGTAAATCAAAATATTATTAAATACTACTATTAAATAAAATCGAAATCGGAATAATTTAATCAAATAAAACTGGTATTCGGACGTTTAGCTCAAGAACCGACGACAGGAAAAAAAACGTAAACATTAATTCGGGATTTATGCGCATCTCGTGCGTCGCAACTCGAGCGGAATACCTACTTAATTTTTCGCATTTCGGGCGTAAGGCTACAGGTAGATTAAATACCCTTCGCAACTCGGGCGTTCAAGGATCAGTACCAATATTATAGTAATATAGTGAATGTCACCTCTTTAGTTTAACCTGAGAAGGTGCTTTCGGCTTAAATTTAAAATTATATACGGAGTGCCGTACAAGAAGAACTTTCATAAAATCATAAAACAAGATTTTTTATTTATCTTTTTTCTGCGAAAATAGTCTTTACATTACATTGTTATGACATTTGAAATTGTCGTTTTTATTGAAAAAAGTATAATTTAATTTTTATATAATAATTAGATTGATAAATAATAGTGTACCTACCTCGGCTAGGTATTTAATTTTTATTTTAATACATTTTTTATGTGTAAGTTAGCTAAATATGGAAAGCTTTTTTTTTATTAGTTTTATCAAAAAAAATTATTCAGCTTAAAAAGTTGTGCATGGTCTAAAATCTAAAATACAACCATCAGATATCACATTTTTTAGGCGTATACTAGGACAGTTGGCGGTAATGGAAAACTTTTTTTATTAATAATTTTATGAAAAAAATGTCCTCATAAAAAATTGTGCATGATCTGAAACCTTAAATACAACCATCAGATATCAAATTGTATAAGTCGTATACGAGGTTTGTCAAAAATGAATGTACTTTACACTTGGCTAAAAATAAATTTTTTGACAAATATCGTATACGACTCATAAAAATTGATATCTGATCGGTGTATTTTAGGTTTTAGATCATACATAAATTTTTGATAAAACTAATAATAAAAAAGTTTTCCATATGTAGCCAACTTACGTAATCTGTAATGTTGTATTTTTATTTTTAATATATAATTTTATTTTAATTATATATTTTCAACTATAATTCATACAAATTGATTTTCTCTCTTTCTTTTTTTTTTTTCTTTTTTTATTTATTCCAAAGCATTTAATAAAATAAACTTGAGTTTAGCAGCTTTTGTTTTATTAGGCATAAATAAATGAAATGAAATTTAATTATTGAGTTGGTTTATGTTCTTTATGTTGCAAATGGACAAGATTTGAAAAATTTCTCATTTGTAAGACAACCATATATTCTAAATAATTGGAAGTTTGCGTCTGTTGTTGGATACATTTCTGAAATATCAGTATTTTATATTTCTGATAGGTTTCAAATTATTATTTATGAAATATATTAAATATTACATTCGTTTCATAATATTTATATATTACAAATATTTCAGTGTTACATTCTTGAAATATTTACTCTGGTTTTGTGCTGTGTGGGTTTATAGAGGGTTGTTTTTCTATTTTAAAAAATGTATCTGTAATTTACTCTTGAAAAAGAAGATTGTTCAAATAAAAGTTGCTTGTGATATTATTCTCTATAAATTTTATCATATTTATGATTTCCTTAAAATGGTCCGTATTCGAGAATTTTGACAAAAAGTGCATAATTCGAATTTTAAAGAAAATTCTTCAAATAAAAGTTGCTTACAATGTAATTCTCTATAATTTTTGTTCCATACATTTCTCTAAAATGGACCGAATTCGAGAAATTTGAGGTAAAGTGCAAAATTCGAATTTTTCTCATTATTTTCACTTATAATAGCACTAGTGACCAAATTATTTCCGGAAATATTTTAGAAATCGCGAATAATATGAAAATTATCCCGATATCATGCTCTATAATTTTTATTCTACATATGATTTCTCTAAAATAAACCGTAATGGAAAAATCTTAAATTTTGTTACATCAACTAACTTTTCAATGCTCGCTATCTGTTAAAAACAAAGCTTGTTCTGCGATGTCATTCACTTCTCTTACATTTTCGATAATTCATTACTACCTGAATCAGATTGTAATCAGAATCAGGGTACATAAACTATGGTCAAATTTCATATCCCGTCGACGCCCGAGTTGCGAACTCACAGGTGCACAATTTTGGGGGGCGCCCGAGTTGCGACGAATTCAGGTAGTTTTATATTACGCCCGAGTTTATAACGCACGAGTTGAGAAAGTACCTAATTCGGTGTACCTAACTACGGTTTCGGCGATGATTTTACAGCGTAAATCGAAGCAGACTTTTCGAGGTCGTATAAATGAATTTAAGCTGGTCGAATCAGTAAAGTGAATGAATGAATTTTTAATACTCAATGCTGAATCCCAGTCTCTATGCCCAAGCAGGCTGGCCCCCACTCTGTGTGCGCGGATCGCGCGCGCTATCGTTACTCAGGTATAATACGCGAATTTAAATGAAACAAAATTTGATATACAGGGTATACCCATGAAGTTAAAATAAAATAAAAATTAAAATTTATATCCGGAATAGGCTGAAATATAGTAATGAAAGTTGACTTCATTACAGTACCTAGACTCATAGAGAGGCAATAAAGTCCCAGAATAGTTCCAGAGGCCATCACTTGTAACTTAAAAGTATCATGGCATTTTAATGGCAGCATAGGTAGCGAATTAGTTCAAGCTGGTACTTTAAAGTTTTTACCACTATCCTATTTTAACTGAAGGCCATAATACACTTTAGAAATTTCATGATGGAAGGCCTTACTTTATAGTACATACCTTTGTTAAAGGCGACCATTATTAGTTGTTGCTAAAAATTTTTAGAAGAAAAATTACTAGACAATTATTATGCTAATATCTTATACATTTTTACGAAAAATGGTTTTGGAAGTATTCGAATTGTTTCCATAAAAAATATTAACAAAAATTAATTGTGCCTTTTAAAATTATCTTGTTAAAAAATACAAAAATAAGGTGCCCTGAAATTTTATCATTTAATATCAATTTTATATCAAAAAAGTAAATTGAGCTAGAAAAATGGCTAAAGAAGGACTTTAAACAAGGACAGTTCTTTTTTTGAAGCAAACTGTGACTTTTTAAAGCTTAAAATGTCCTTTTTACAAATGTACAAAAAATATAGGACCTTTTTTTAGAAGCTCGACAGAACGGCGAGGAAGTATTTTTTTTATAATTAGTAGAAGGATGAGGACCTTCTGTATACCAGAGCCCCTGTCAACATCGTAGTCCTTTTTTTACTTTTCAAAAAGGTGGCAACCCTAGCCTAAGTACACATCTTTTTGGTATAATATATCACTTGACAGAGTAATTCGTTGGATATCGCCGCCTACTGCGGGTTTATTTATTGATAGTTATAGGTAATATATATTTATATATTTGTAATTCGAAATAAACTTACAATTGTAATAGATGTGGCAATCAGTGTTGCAAGTCTAGTACAATTTTTAATTATTGTAATACCTAGATGTATTACATAACACAAATATATTCTGGCAACACTGGAACACCCTTTCAAACCAAACAAACTTTAAGCTAAATATAAAGCACCATAAGACTACTTCAATTGTACTTATTTAAAAATTTTGTTTAAATAAGAACTGCGACTTTCATAAATTGGAAGTATGTGTGTTAATTCAACGATTGTTACCGAAAAACGTATTGTTTTCAAGGTAAAGCATTCACTAACATTTTAAGAATAAACGTATTTTCGAGGTTGTTGTTTTATTTACCTTGTTAGAAAATCTTACCGCCCTGTACATACTATGTTGTTATAGTAATAAAAAATGATGAAATTGATGTTCGAATAAAAAAAAT